CCCAAAGATCATGGGGGCTTAGGGATCACAGACCCTGCTACACAAATTCAAGCATTGCGATTACAATGGGCTTAAAAATTGATCTTCTTACCCCACAACTCGTGGTGCATAATGACTCTAGAGCATCTAGCCCGCATGACCCCAATCGCCTCTCGAGGGCTGCATCCTTTGAACTGTTCGGAGGACCGTTCCTGTACAATCCCGCGCAAAATTCCACGAAGGGGGGTTGAACAGGAACGGGGGGACCAGCCAACGGACAACTTTTGGCCATCTCTGCTAGCCGTGTGGCGGCGGCTTCCGCTCCCTGACAACCCCCCCCCTGACCATTGGGAAAAAATCTATCACCAACCTTTGTTTGGAAACCGTTGGTTGACAGACCGGAGGGGCTGCACCAGGTCGAGCTCTGCCCTGCCTTGGAAGAGTTGGGTCAAACGGGGAGTGCTCAGAGTAGGGGACCTTTGAGACCAGGATAGACGAGACTAGAAAATTGCGGACCAATTGCGAGATACATTGCGTCATTGTTATCACGTGGACGCTAGCATGATATTGAATCCTCAAACAAAGCCCCTCCCTCAAGGAGGGAGATTGGGTGGCGACCAAGGAGGTACCGCCACGAATCGGTCAGGTCCATATGGTAGACCCACAAATGATCCTGGTGGAGCACTATGCTATCACTCGGAGGGGAACCCTCGAAGGAAGCAGAGCCCCTGTTGAATCGGTAAAGAAGACATTGGTATATCAGGTCGTGGAAGAGAGAGGGGAGAAAGTGGTTTTTCGACCACAGTGGGCTATACAGGAGTTGGCCCTGGACCTAGTGGAATGGACTTGGGCGCTCGCCCAGAGAAAGGGGGAGGGCACAACAGATCATATAACCCTCCATAGGTTGTCGGTCAATTCCGCCTACAAGATGTTTAGGCCTAAACGATGTCTACGGGATGTGGTTACAGACCGTTGGGCCGAGCAACTCAATGTGGACCGCTCCCTTCTGACGCTGATCCCCTGGTTCAAAGACCAGAAGTCTAAACCTGCGAAAACCTCCTCCCTAGAGTGGCAGATAGTGCACCCCTGTTTGCCCACTAATGATTGGCTAATAGACCACACCGACCAGGAGCAACGAGGTCCGGCGCTGCCGTGGTGTCAGCGATGTTTGAACATGTCTTCCCCCTGCAAGAGTGTAGAGACCATTGAGCACATTTTCACACAATGCCCAATAGCTCAATTTACGTGGCGATGGTGGGACCGTATTTGGCGGAAGATAGTGACAAAGATTCCCTTGCGATGGTCATGGCAGGCCATCCTGGTTGGCCACTGGCCTTTGGCAGAAGAAAGCTCGATGTTTGTTGAGAACATGTTTTGTTGGGCAGAAGGGCAGTGATGTGGGCTCTTTGGTGGCAGAGGTGTGTTTTGGCTTTGGATAAAGTGAGGATAGAAGGGGCGGAAATTGCTGAATAAATCAACTAACAAGTACAACTGGCACTCATGCGGAGGTGGTCCGACACGAAGTCCCAGCTGGATCTCTTCACACAAATCACGAGCGTCAGGAGAGCGGGTCGCAACATTCTGTACGGACTGGGTGGGTGGCGAAAGGGAAGGTGGGTAGCAAAAGTCACATGGGGTGGTGGACAGCAGGATCTGGAAGAAATAAGGGACTACAGACTAGTGTTTAAACCACCAATACCTCCGCCAGTTTTAAGAAATTGACAGGATGCTGGGCCGGTTTCGGCCCATGTCCCCCACAGGTAAACTAAACCTTCCACAATTTGATTGTTTTCATAGATGACAGGGTTCACACTGTAAACTACATCACAATCGATAGTTAGTACAGATTACAGGCTTACTAACCTCTCACGGGCTTATTATTCTCGTACATGACACGATGCACATCAAACTGTGTAATTGCATTTTAAATGTACTTTAGAGGGACGCTGGACCCAATTTCCAGCAGGTGTTGCTCCCCACCAATAGATGGAGCCATCCCGGCACTACTAGTGGTGTCTGATCATATCAGCACCCCTAGTAGCCGCTCGGGCTGTTTCTTTAAAAAAAAATATAAAAAAAATAAAATGATGTCTTGGCCAGTACCCGAACTTTTGGGGGTGGGACACAAGGTCGGCAATGTCCCATAAATCTGAATTTTATAGTGATGGAAAAAAGGGAAAAAAAATGCTTTCTCTACTGCAATGATGTCGAGCTGGGTAATCCAGGAGGCCGTGCTCACAATCTTCTCCACAGAATGCACCTTACAGGTAAGGCGGTCACATTCTGAATGTTACTGTTTTCTTTTTTTCGTTGGTCGTGTGTTTCTTACGAGTCCCCTGTCTGTGAATTGCTCAAGCTGTGTTTTGTCAGAGGATTGTAGGGCTCATCACACTGGCACTTAGGGGGATGTATCCAACCATTTTCACGGCCGGATCCATGTGCCTGTTTTTTCACCCTTTTATTCTCTTTTGGAATCTGACAACCTGGCCACGGGGCTGAGATGCCCTCATTGAGGGCACACTCACACTACCACTTCCAAGAATGCATACAACTGCAATCACGGCCTAAGCTTTGTTTTTTTTTTTTCTGAGGTTCACGGCTGCAACTTTTCTTCTTCTTTTTTGTTTCTTTTTGTTCTTTCGATGAGAGTACCAGAAAGAAAACGTAGTGGTACCCAGGCTCGGCAAAACTCGGAGCGCAGTGAAATTCAGGTTCGGCAAAAACAGGCTTGGAGGTACTGGTGGTTTAAGGACTGGACCCAGGTGGAACCCTCATTCCCTTTGCGGGCCCCCACAGTTTTCCCAGACCCCTTCCCTCCCCATGCCCTCTCCTTGACGAAAATTCTAGTCTAGATGACAGTTTAAAGCTGATCCCGGGGCAGGCGGGGAGATGGAAGGAGGACCCACTGGTGCCCCCCAGTGGCTCCTTCCGGTTTTCCGAGCCAGGCCATGGGGTAGTGGAGGGGCTGCTAGCTTTCTGAAGTTTCTGTGAAAGTTCTGGCATCCAGCGAGATGGATGAAGAGGCAGACCCCCATTTTTTTATCTCAGCTAGCCAGAGGCAGGGGACACTGGACCCGGTTTCCAGCACAGTGACTTTTTCTGATGATCTCATAAGCTAAGCTGGCTGAGGCTGCCAGTGTGTCCTGTCCACTCTATTCTTCCGGGTAGACACTGAGGATCCCGGCCTCTAATTCTATTGAGTAATACAAGTCTTGGGCACTGGGTCCGACGTTAAAAAAAATAAAATAAAGAGAAAAATGGATGATCCAGGCCAGCCATCTGCAGACCCTAATCCTGCCGCTGTCGTGGTGCCACTTGGGCTGGTGGGAGCAACAGAGCAGACTTTGCCCAGTTGACCTTGGCCTCTGCCGCCTGCACAAAGAAATCCAAATTCTGCCTCAGAGCATCGCAGGAAGCCGATTGCAGGGCCAAAAATGGAGACCGATCATAAGCAAACGCCTGAGATTTAGCAGGCTTGCCATGGGACAATCACATCCAGAGCTTAGTAGAAGATGAAGCTTGGGCAGGGGTCTCATGAGTGGAATCAAAAAAAGAAAGGGAGAACAAAAAAGAATTCGAGAATGCTTTTCTTTTCCCCTCCTTTCTGCCAAGAAGAGGCCAATACCTTTCTCGGCTTTTTGGCTAAGATCAAGTTTGTATCTGTTCTGACCCGTCTAGTATCTGATCCGTGGTCCGTCGGACCACACTTTTTCTTTCACAAAGAACAGGCCCTTTCTGACAGCCCGCCTCCGGGAGGAATCCATTCAGTGCCCAGGCTAGCACTTTCCTGAATGTACCTGACTGCAATTACGACCAGGCCTGGGGTTTGAGTGAAAACGAGAGATCTACAGCCTACCGGTCCCACAGTGGTGGTATCTACCGACATCCCGGTTCCAGCAGTCCAAGTGGCTTGACTCTGAAGGCCGGCTACACAGAGGTCGTTCGACAGAATCTGGACGTCAACGGTGACCCCATACGTCTAGAAAACTCCTACGGCTGTTGTTTGAGTAGAGCTGGGTAGTGTTTTTTTTTTTTTTTTTTTTTTTTTTTTTTTTTTTTTTGTAATCGTTGGCCTGTACTTTCGGTTCGGGTGATTTCTTTTTTCTTTTTTGTTCGGGTGATTTCAGCAGCCCCCACTATCTTCTTCCCCGAATACAACGTACAGTCATTATAGCTGTACCTAGACCGAAAGACGCCTCAAATACAGTTATAATTACCGTAGGTGCCTCCCGTTGCGACTTTCCCTTTCTCCTTCAACAAAACATCTTGGAAATGCCGACGAACTGATGGGCGTATGGCATGCATCTTCAGCTAGAAGGTGGACAGATGCATCCGCCATTTCTACGTTTTTTTTTTTTTTTTTTTTTTTTTTTTTGTGTGTGTGTGTGTGTGTGTGTATTCTACGGCTTTTGCACATTTGCCAAATGATAAAGCGTGATCTTAGATGAGGTACCGGAATTCCACCACGATTCTTCCTTCATCGCTGCCATGAAATGAACATGCAGCTTGCTGTGCATTTGGGTTATTAAAAATAGTAGGAGGAGGAGGGGGAGGAGAGGGGTGTGGAGAGTAGGAGCAGGACGGGACACGAAAACGGTGGCAGAGAGGGAGCAGAAGCGAGCACCGGGACAAGAACGAGAGGGACAGTACGAGAATCAATGACTTGACAGAAGGAGAAGAAAGGTGAATAGGGGGCGGCAGACGCAAACGAGCCGCAGCTGCAAACAACACAGTGATTGGGAGGTGTTGAACGTATCGCTGAGGAGGCGACGGAGGGAGTGGAGAGGGGGAGGGAGAGGACTGGAGGGGCATTACAAATATGTTGAAAGGGTGAAGGCAGAGGGAGGGAGACAACTGCAGGGGCATTACGGGAAGAAGTGTCTTTGGGGGCAAAGGGACGAGGAGGAGGGGGGTCGAGGAAGAACTGTTCACATCGGAAGGAAAGGTAAGGGCGAGGAGGAGGAGGAGGAGGAGGAGGAGGAGGAGGAGGAGGAGATTGAACATGGGGGGATCTGGTGGCTCGAGCTTGTACACCCCACTTTTATCATGTCCATCGTCGATGACAAATTTGACCCCTACCCCTTCCATGTTTCGAGATGGACGTGAGCTATCAAGCCCAGATGTCTTGGAAGAGGGGATTCTGAGAACAACGACTTCGTCATCTGATATGTCCTTAGGAGAAGGTCCCCGGTTGAAGAAGGCTCAAATGGCCGTCATGAAGTATATATCCGTCTTCAAGGGCAACCGTGTTCAACGCGCTGCAGCACTCGTCAGTCAGGTCTGTATCCATCTGGGGAGAGGTCCCACTATAGTGGTGTCTGCTCTTACCAGCACCCCTAGCACTCGTTCGGGTTGTTCATTAAAAAGAAGGAAAAAAAAGAAAAAAGAAAAAAGAAAAAAGAGAGGTGCACGAAATGGTGATTGATCTGCTTTTCTGCGCTTGATCCGATCCTCCTTGTTAGTGTCACCTTCCTCCCGGGCTTGAGCTGATTTCTTCACTTCAGTCACCATTGATTCATTTATTTATTAATCGATATTTTGTTTTTTGTTTTCCACTTCTGAGATACTATGAGGAATAATACGATGATTGAATTTTCTCTTTGAGATATCGACGTCCAACTGACCGGCAACAGGTCTGAGATATCGACGTCCAACTGACCGGCACCAGGTTATTACGAATTATTTGATTTCGTTCGTCTTGCTATATCTGGATTCCAACTGAGGTCCGTGTTGCAATAGTCCATGGGTGTACCAACTTAGCTAGGCCCATCGGTGAATGATTGATTATCGGTTTCGAAAATCTTGGTGGAAATACTCCTCTGAGAGGCTGTTGAGTTTCGCAAGAGACAGAAATAGCCCAGTGAGTCCATAGAGTCAGCCCTTCGAGAAATGAGCCAAATTTTAAGGGGGGAAGGGGGGAAAAAACAGGACAAAGAAAAAGAAGAGCGCTTAGAGAATGTATTTGACCCCTCTTCAGGCGCATGAGCTGTAGAAGCCCGATTTATATACTTGTGTATCTATTTGTTTCAGGGTTTTTCGATTGGATTTTATTTATAACGATATTTGAGGAATTCGCTTTTGACGGATTTTGTGATATGATTGATTATAGATGGGAATATAATTACGTGTTCAGTTTGGTAAGGTGAAGGGGAAAGCTGCTTTTTTTTTTCCTGTCTTTTTTTTTTTTTTTAATACGACATAATGTTTTATTTATTTATTTAAGCTATATTCTTCTTTCAAATTGGACTTTACTACCTACCTACCACTACTCCTTAGCATATACATGTAAGGATAGCTACCTCTCACAGTCAAGGGGATGCATGTTGCCCCTCGCCCCTAATCGGCGGTGGTCAGGGAGTGGGGTCGGGCCGCCGGTGGGGGAGATGGATGTTAGTGTTTTTAGTGTTTTCTAGAGACGTCAGCCCCCCCGTTTTTTTTGTTTTTTTTTTTCCCCTTTTTTTGTTTTTTCCAGGGCGACGGCGCCAAGTAATTCACAAATAAAAGGTTACCAGAGTGGACTCTGAGGCAGAAAACAATTTTAAGAATGGTTAGAAAAACAAAAAAAAATGGTTAAGGAATTTCGGTGTGACCCCGAGGCAAAAGTTGTTCAGCTTACCCAAGAGCCTCTCAGAGCGCGGCACTGCAGGCCTGCAGTGCCCGCCTGCAGGCGTGCCCAAAACACACGCGTTCCCGCCTCCAGTGCTCGCCTGCAGAAATAGCTCAGTGGGTACACCCCTGAACTGTTGAAAACACCGACCGGTGTTCGAATCCAGATGATGGAATTTGATGAAGAAAGTTGTAAAACCAACTATTTCTGAATTGCATGGGGCCGGCCAGCTTAATGATGATATCTCAAGGCCGTCGCCCTTATATAAAAGTTGTTCAGCTTAGTTTTCTGCATAACAAGATTATTTGGATTTTGTTTCTTTTTTTTGTTTGGCTGGGACCCTTCTTGGTTCTTGCATGGCCATCACCGGGCGGGCCGGATGGTAGCCCAGGACATCACAGAGGTTGGAAACCCAGGACATCACAGAGGTTGGAAAACTGCAGGGCGCATACTCTTGAAAAAAAGCGCGGTACCGCAGGCGGGCACGCGTGTGTTTTGTTTGAATAGAACACACGTTTGTTTGAATTGAACAAACGTGCGTACTATTCGAATACGTGCGTGCTATTTGGATTTCAGGGGGCGACTTCGAGAAATAGACTTTTTCCAGGGAAAGTTGAATATTACGTAGGTGCATTTTGTTCGAGGAAAGACTGTAGGCCCGTTCGTTCAGCCCGGTTACTCTTTAGGGAGCTCGTCATGGGTGGACTGTGGCAAGACAGAACAATGTCGAGGGGATGGAAAGTTCAAAGTAGGAAAAAAAAAAAAAAGACAACATGAAAGTCAGTAGAGGAGATAAATTCAGACATGAGAATGCATTTTGGATTTTCTGGGGTCGAGGTTCGCAGCTGGTAGTGGGTGAATGACTGATCGCGTGCCTTGGCGAGCTCTCCGTGACAGTTCGTCTCTTAGCTCTGCGTATGCGTGTGTGTGTGTGTGTGTGTGTGTGTGTGTGTGTGTGTGTGTGCCCCTGCGTGCGTGCGTGCGCACGTGCCCGTGTGTGTGTGTGTGTGCGTGCGTGCGCACGTGCCTGTGTGTGTGCGTGCTTGGGTGCGTGTGCGTGCGTGTGCGTGCGTGTGTGTGTGTGTGTGTTTCGCATGGGATTTCTTCTCATTACCATCATAGGTGGTACCATATTTGTAATCCGGAAATGTTTTTTCATTGTTTTGTTTTTTCTCAAGGTTGGTTGAACTTGGTTCATTGCATTTTTGGTGAATTTTCTTTTTTTCTGTAGTTGATCACTGATTTGATTACACCTGCTGATCCAACTTGATCAGATTGGCATCTCCATGAGTCCATTGAAATGGAAACCATACTGATAATTTTTTTCTTTTTTGTTTAACTCTTTTCCCCTTTTTCTGACATACGGAGTAGCGTAGCGTGGAGCCTGCCCAGGGAGACGCGCACAAGCTTGGCATATTTTTGGCCATATTTTATTCTTTGGCCTTTTTCTGATCCAACGACCTAGAAAGGGAGAGTTCCCATTAGTTAGTACAATAGAATCATATAGATCGAATAGAGATCATGATCCCAAATTTTATTCTTTGGCCATATTTTTGAAGTAGGAATTTGTCTGATGTATACTCGCACTAGGATTTTCTGCAATGTATTTGACCGTAATCACCGGCAGATACCATCCAAAATACCCAAGTGTGGCTATGGCCTTTCTCACAGTACCGGTACGAGATCTTAGTTCTCCTCCTGAGCTTGGCCCTCGTGCACATCGCCCCTCGCTTCTTCTGGTACTACCATATGGTCCCGAAGTGAATTTGGTTCCAAAATGGATCTGGTCCAAGGTATTTTGGTTCGCCCAAGTGATTTGGTCCGGAGGGAGGTTTTTCTTTCTTATTCAGAAACTATTTGATTTGATTCATCTGGGAGGTCTGTTTTCTTTTTCTTTTTTTTCTTTTTTTGGAAAGCATTAGAGCGTTTTTCCAGCGGCCTAACTCAGTTGGTTAGGCTCGCAAGTGGCATTCAGGAGGTCGTGGGTTCAATCCCCATTGGTCTCATGTACCCTCCTGGGCATGCTTGGCGCCTGCCACCTAGAGATAGACCACTGGATTGCCGGATCGGCATTGAGCAGAGTCTGCTGATGTTCGTAGGGGGGGGACCTGAGGGGAGGCACAGGGATTGGTCCTGTTGGCATGGTCCCTGATGCGACCGGCTGTCCCCTAGCCGGTATCGCCCAGCCGGTATCGCCCACCTGCAGGTTGGGAGCAGGCCCCACATGTTCACTCGTGAAGAACGCAGCGCAACGCAGGCACTACATGCATGCCAGAACCCGCCGGCGGAATGGCACAGACGCAAGGGGAGAAGCGCGCGAGTGGGCATGAGATGGTGACATGGTGTTGCTGTCCAGCAGGGGTATTACCATGCCCCTGGCTATGGCTGGCCTTGGTCGGCGAGAGCCGGCAATCCTCGTGAGGTTGCTGTCCAGCAGGGGTATTACCATGCCCCTGGCTATGGCTGGCCTTGGTCGGCGAGAGCCGGCAATCCTCGTGAGGTCGCGAAGGGAGAGAGTCGTATGTGTGGCTGACCGCGAGGCAGGGTTTGCTAGCCGCCAACATATCATAAATGAAACACGATCAGGGGCTTCAGCCCCCTGGTCTCAGATATGCAGTTTTGTGGATAGCTGGCATTGGAAGCTGTCCGTGATGGAGTCGAAGCTGTTGGAAGACGTACATGGTCTGCTGCGAGTTCACATGGACTGTAGTGACTCTGGTCTTAGTCCCCCTCACTGTTGTGAAGGTGGTGTGGGCGACTTTGGTGTGATAGGGTTTAGCTCAGCCTATTGTTGACAAATGCTGGCAGTTTTATTCCTCGTTATGATAGAGGAATATTTGCTTCGGTTGTGTTGTATTTCGTTTTTTTAGTGTAGTTTTACGTTTTGGATGTTTTGGTGGTTTGTGGAATTACTATTTGTTGTTAAGATTTGTTAATTTTGTTCTCGTATTTTTTTGCTGATTCTTGTTTCCTGAGCGGTAATTTTGCTTTTGTGGTTTATTACAATTATATTCTTAATTAGGTGGGATCTGTGTGTCTGTTTAGCCGAGTTAAGCAAACGCTTTTTCAATTTTGAAGTTCTGCTTGTGGTAGCATGAAGGAATTTCGATCCCTTTCGTGGAATTCCGCTTATTTTAAATTAGGGATCATAGCAGATTGTCGTTTTTTGTTTTTGGGTTTGTGGAGGTTGGTGTAGTTCCTTTTATGGTTACTTAAGATGATTTGGGAGTGCTGCCCCGCACAGACCTTGTCATGGTGGGCGGTGGGGTCTCTTAGGGGGTTGGCACAGATTGAGGGAGTGGTTGCCTTAAATCGCGAGGAGGCGGGTGGGTTTGCAGGGTCTTCTGACCCTAGCCGTGCGGGTGGTAGGGCCTTCCCACAGGGGAGAAGTTGTTGGATTGGTTTTTGTATGTGGTTGGGATTTTCTTCTGACATCCTGTTTTCTTGATTGGGATTGGAGAGTGTCGCTCCGCGGGTGCTTGATCATGGAGGGCGGTGAAGACTCCATTGTGAGGCGAAATGCAGATGAGAGGAGTGGTGTACCCTAAATCGCGAGGAGGTGGGTGGGTTCTGCGGGGTCTTTGGCCCCTGCTGCGCGGGTGGTAGGGTATTTCCGCAGGTTAGCGACATTGCCATCATGGTGGGAGTTGGCAGTTTTGGTAGGTGACTGT